GTTTTAAGGTGTAAGTAGTAGGTGAAAAGTACTACAGTAGCTGTCAGACCATCAGACCATAGTGTGCTATATATACTATTGAAAGACTAGAGGTCCTTTGGAATTGTGTCTAACTGTCTGTTTAGGAGACTGAAGCATACAGTATTACCAGTTATGTAAGAGCTCCTTCCTTACTGTGACTCAGTGTTCTTATGTGATAAATTCAGAGTATGGAACAGTTCGTTTGGCACAGCGAGTGTGCGTGTGTCCTGATGTCCTGAAGCAGCTTCCCTTCCTAACCCGAAAGACCAACACTGTCCTGCATGCGGGATTTGGCAGGAGGAGAGTGAAGGATAAAAAGCTAGAGGTCCAGAAGCACCAGAATCCATGGAGGATGTTCAGCAGCCACTGCAGAGAGACTGAAGACCACAAAGGACTGCTTTCGCTATTGTGCTCTTCTGCAGTCAGAATCCTACAGAATGTGTCTTCCTTCTCTTCCACATCCTGGGACACCTTTCACCTCTTTATCTTTCATCTAGAGAACACACAATACATCGTGAGCTGAAGGAATTAAAAAAAAACCACTTGATCGAGAGATGTAATTTCAGTTGTAAAATGTAAAAATGTTAGAATGACATTACAAAAAAAAAGAGGAATTTTGCCAACGGTGCCTTTCAGTAACAGTTCAAATCAAGCTGGGCCAGGGAAGATGCAGACCTCCAGAGTCCCTGTGGTCTCCTGGTGCAATCCTTCTGTACAAGCTAGATATCTTTAGTCTTAAGGAGAGGAGGTTACATCTTCAAGATCCCAAAAGTTTTTGAAAAATGCAGCTCAGTAAACACCCCCAACTTTTTCCACTTAGATGAATCTTACAAGACCCCAGATCCCCCCGTGCCCCAATCGGGAGACATCCACCCCCATCCCTGATCCCGGAGATGTTGGTGAGCTCAGCTCCAAGGCCAGGTGGAATAGTAGGGGTTGTGCAGATTTCCCGAAAGACAACTCCACCATAGACCTTTGCCCCTGGCTGACATTGCTGGCAGTCATGTTGCAGAAGAAGGCAGCTAGAATGATGTCACTGCTTTAGTGCTGTGCAAAACTATTTTTTTGCCGCTGCGATACAATGTGACAAAGGCTGTCACAGTTCCAAAGAGCCATCTCCACAGTTATTATTAATCACCTTAACAAGTGGTTGAAAATCATTTCAGTAGGAGCCTGAGGAGGCTGGTGTGTGCTATCTGTGATGAATGCCAGGCCTCTCTAATTGCATTAAGTGATTCAACAGGATAAAATCCAGCCTGACTGTGGTGAAAGACAAATCACACTCATCAGACGCAGTAGCAGCTGGGAACAGAAATGTATAGTGTAAGTGTGTGTGTGTGTGGGGGGTTAAATTATATTTAATACCTTCACACTTGTGAATGCAGGGGAGTGGAGGGAAAAGATTGGTATTTCACACCCCAGATAAGCCAACAGAAAACTCAATTGTATTCTTCATCAGCAGATAAAGCCAAGTGCATGCAGAACTGGCTTAGATGGGTAAACTCATTTTGTTTATTGTTTCTCTTTTAAGATAAATATTTTGAAGTAAATGCCACCCATCAGCCTAGAATAAGCCTGTTGTTGCACCATGGTTCTATATTGTTGAAGGTTTCAGTATTCAGTTATGCAGTACAGAGGCACATCCTACAGAAATTGTAGAATATCAGAATATGCATGACTTATTCCACCATAACGGCTTCTCTGAACCCTTGCAGTGATGTCGCAAAGGTCTCTGTGGATTATACCTCATGGAGAGTTTTTATGAGGTCCTGGTGATGCAGTCACTCCACGCTAATCCCATATCGTTGCCTGTAATACTTATTGTTTTCAATGTCAAGGATGCCGCATGCCGGAATCAGATGCTGAAATAATAAAAGTGCTGTCAGAGCCGAGTTTGTTCTGGGACAGGAAGGACTCGGAAGTCGGCCCCGGATCCGTCATGGATGCATGAGTCTGGGCAGGCGTGCCTGAGGCAGCAGGGGCTCTAGATGGCCGGGCAGGACCAGAGCGCACAATCGAGGTGAAACGACTCCAGCTTCCCGCATTGGTAATTGCCAAGATAATAGCCTGCAGCCGTTGTCATGGCTGGTAATGTAAGATCCTGATAGAGCTCTCCTGTGGGTATCTCCTATCCATCCTAATGTCATCCTTGGGTGGATCTGTAGCTAAAGCCTGCAGCTGCTCTGATTGCCCTCTCGGGAGTTGGGCTATGAAGAACGGGATGGCCGGTCTGTGGGTC